TATATATTGATTAAAACAACTTGATATAAAATAAATCGAAGTTCATAATATAGTCTCTCCATCATCTTCGTCTCTGTCATCCTCTCTTGTCCTCATCTTCGTAATGTTGTCTCTATGCCTGTTCGCAGCCCTATCCGGGTCCCAAATGTTCGGTTTCATATATATATATGGATATATATATATATATTCGAATATTTTTCGCTAATTAAAAGCAGAGAAAAAAATTGTTATCCAAAATTTTCGAATAAAAAAATATCTTATTTGTTAAGTTGGAATACCTCAGATTTTGTACTATACCATGTATGTATGTATATCTAAGAATTTATGTGATTCATCTAGTTTTTTTTAAAAGGCTTAATTAAAGACAAATGACTATTAAATATTTTTTTATTATTAATGATTATAGATCAAGAAAAATCAAAGTCAAAAAAGAAAGCTCCATTTGAAAAAAAAGTCAAATAAGGTAAATATTTAACGAGGGACAGGAGGTTTGGTGTGTTGGAACGTGGAGAGTGATATTTGACATTATTCCGACTTTGAAAAAAAAAAAGAACCAAGAACATAGTATTTCCCGTTATTCAATCACGTGTCTCACTATTTGTCCTGAGTTTCTCGTTAATTTCGTGAACCAACTTGTTTGATTCGTTCACAGACAGTCACGTTTTACGCCCATCTTTGCACTCCCGACGGTGAAATCCCCATCATGAAGAGTCAAACAATACGAGCCAATCTATTGTCCATTTGGAGTACGGATAACTTCCCGAGTCTCGCCTGTCTCGGCTCACAAATCCGAGCCAATCTAAAGCTGCGTTGCCTTTTGCAAACGCAGCGGCATGAACGATTTTAAAGCTGGCCGAAGATCTCGCCATTGGGGCTTTCGGCCATAACAACCATCCGGAGACTTTCGATTTCACATAAATCGGGTCGGATTCATATTCACCTCTCCTGTACTTGTATCCCAAATATGTAGAATCACACTCCAATATCAAAGAATCGAGTATAATAAAAACCGAATGCACAATGAAAGGCACAAATGAGATTACCATTTCAAGAGTTACTACTCACGAGAGAATGCCAGGAAATGTCGTATGGAGAACGGGAAACTTGATTTAGAAAAGAAAAAAAAGACAGACGAGTTGAAGGGAGAACACCCTTTAATTTACCATGTCTCAACTTATTGAGGTTAATGCAAGATAAGGACAACAACCTTAGGCCTTTGTAGCTCCTCCAGCTTTCACGAGTTCTTCAAGCGCCTTCAAAATCTGTGGCTCACTCATACCATCCAAGTCGACACACCTCTCTACACCCATATCTGCATATAATGTACAAAATGTATCCACAAAATTAAATAGTATTAGGAAAAAAAAAAAGAAAACTAGTTGCAAGTAGACTTATCAAGATTTATGAACAAATGACAAAAAGAGCAAAGCCTGAAAGAGCTTCTGCTTTTTAAATATGAAATGTATAAGGAAAGGTTAACCATCATATCTTGTTTGCCCGTGCAAGTATATTCCATAACCCTTGCAAGTCATATGGAGCGAAGCATTATCTCAAAAATAATCTAGAAGATTTACCTACGGAAAGGCTTCAATGCTACTTACATAGACACATTGCAAGAGAAGAGGTATCAAGTTTGCAGCACCTAATGTTATATAAGGTTGCAATATAATACCAAAAGACAAATCAAAGATGAAAAAGCTCTCTACAAAAAATTACAATCTAGTAGCACTCCCATCATACGCGCAGATGTCCGGTGATTTTTAGTTGCAGTAAAAACAAAGATAAGTTTGCAATCAAAGGGAAAAAATGGAAAATAAAAGGATGGACACCCATTGTAGAAAACATAAATTTATACATTCACATCCAGCATACAAAGGAGTTAGCAAACACAAATCTCGTCCAACAATTGGAAGGCATGAAGCTGCTTATGAAAATAGATTCAAGAAAGAAGAGAAAGAAGACGTGCGTATTGATTTGCCTGCCCCAATCCATTTACTATCGAATGTAGAACAACTTAAAAAACGATTCACAGGAGGGGCACTTCCATACGAATGAATATAGAAACACATTAAGAGATATCTACACGGGTAAAGAAGCACAGTCCCTGACAAGTCTCTATCAAGCAAATGTAGTTCCAATGATGGTTTGTTTACTAATGATGATGGGTGGCTAATTACCAAAGCGCGTATTCATAACAAAGTCAAGCAATTTCAATAGCTAAGCTGTTGCCACTTCAGAACCCAAGCAATACCATTTCACTCCTTTAACTTTCCAGAGAAGCTGGTATTGCTTCTTATTCTTTTTCTCTTGAGACTTCTATAAAGAGAAAAGTGAACAATAAACCTCAAGGCAGAAAAATAGAATCCATAACATAACATGGCGATTGTCACTACTCACAGGCACGGAAGCAAATTATAACTGGCATCAATGTACGCAAACATAAACAAAAATTTTAAAAACACCCAAGAATTTATGGACGAGCTAGGTATTACCGTATCTTGCCCACATCTGAGGCTGGATCCCACTGCATTCGCGGATCAGGATCGGGAATTTAGGGTTTAGACTCTTCAAATCCTTGTAATTCTTCTCCACAAAAGTCCTGAACCAAAAAAAATTCCAAAGAAACCGATCCAGGAACAAAGAAAATCAAAAAATCGACACGTGAGGTGATCAAGTTAATCACCGATCAAAACACGACAACAAAACACGAAATGAGAAAAAATCAAAGGAACCTTGTGGAAGCACTAGCCGGAGAAGATTGGCAGAGAAGAATCCTCAGCTCCTTCATGCACCTTGATAGATTTCCTCTCCACGCCATGGTTGTCTCTCTCTCGATCCACAACAACAGCAGCAGCAGATGCAGAAGAAGAAGAATGGAGGAGAAACCCATCCGCGCTAGGACATTCGCTTGGTGGGCTTAAAATACCAAAAATGCCCCTACAAAACATAGTTCTAGGCCCAACAACGGTATGGAGCTCGGCCGATTTATAATATGGGCCTTGGCCCATATTAATGAGTCGGTTAATTCAAAGCTAACTAGGTCACGCTTCTACACATATAAATACGCTCTCTGCTACACGAAGGAAAAAATTCGGCCGAGGAATATATAAATATCTCAAAAATCCTTCCTCTGTCGAGGCTTGGGTGCTGTGCTAATAGAATTTTCCGTTTCCTTCACGCGGTTTCATCTTTCAGGTGATTTTTCCGATTTCGTCCTTTTTTTTTCTTTGCTTTTTCTTGTGTTTTTTTGGTCCATTTCTCAATGTCTAGGTGATGATACTCTGGCGCTCGAGGGGTGATCTGATTGTTGTGCTCGGTGATTGTTGTTTAATGAAATTATCGGCAAGAATTTTGAGCTTTTGGGACTTTGATCTGTTGAATTTTGTTTCATTTCGTTACGGTTAGGTTTTGTGGGTGAGTTTAGGTTTTCCGGTTTGAGTTTTGAATTGCGTGAGACGATTTGATGATCATGTTGCATGTGCTGCTTTCTGTTTGATTTTGCCCCCTTTCGTCCAAATTCGATCGGTGATTGTATATCATAAGGGATGCGAGATTAATTTGCCCAAGATCTAAAGGTCGATAACTTAACTTTTCTACTTTCGTGGGTTTGGTTGTTTTTTGTTTCATTTCAAGAATATTGGGACATCACCGGGCTCAGATACTTTCTTGATGTGTTGCTTCTGCTCTTTAATCTCGGAAGAGGAGGTTTCATTGTAGCCGTCCTGTTTGAATTAGAGTTTCGTCCTGGTAGTTGTTTTACTATGTCAATTTCTCTGCTCATTTTCCTTTTGTTCCTAAATGATAGGTTGATATATCTTTTTGTGTTCTAACTGGCATCGGCATTTCAATGCCTATATTGCAGTTTCATTTCTTTTGTACCATCAGCATCATGGCCGACAACGATAAGAACATCGAGATATGGAAAATTAAGAAGCTCATCAAAGCTCTTGAAACTGCTCGGGGAAATGGCACCAGCATGATCTCCCTTATCATGCCTCCTCGTGATCAGGTTGCCCGTGTTACCAAGATGTTGGGTGATGAATATGGAACTGCTTCAAACATCAAGAGCAGGGTCAACCGTCAATCTGTTTTGGGGGCCATAACTTCTGCCCAGCAGAGGCTGAAGCTTTACAATAAGGTCCCTCCCAATGGGCTCGTGCTCTACACTGGTACCGTTGTCAACGAAGAGGGCAAGGAAAAGAAGGTCACTATCGACTTTGAGCCTTTCAGGCCTATTAATGCATCGCTCTACCTGTGTGACAACAAGTTCCACACTGAAGCTCTGAATGAACTCCTGGAATCTGATGAGAAGTTTGGATTTATTGTGATGGATGGGAATGGAACCCTCTTTGGAACTCTCAGCGGAAATACCCGAGAGGTGCTTCACAAGTTCTCTGTTGATCTCCCTAAGAAACACGGGAGAGGAGGGCAGTCGGCCCTACGGTTTGCCCGTCTTCGTATGGAGAAGCGTCACAACTATGTGAGGAAGACCGCTGAACTTGCCACACAGTATTTCATTAATCCAGCTACAAGCCAGCCTAATGTGGCTGGGCTGATACTTGCTGGGTCAGCAGATTTCAAGACTGAACTGAGCCAGTCGGATATGTTTGATCCCCGTCTCCAGGTGAAGATTCTTAATGTTGTTGATGTTTCGTATGGAGGAGAAAATGGTTTCAATCAGGCTATCGAGCTATCTTCTGAAATCCTGGCTAATGTGAAGTTCATTCAAGAGAAGCGTTTGATAGGAAAGTACTTTGAGGAGATAAGCCAGGACACTGGGAAGTATGTCTTTGGTGTGGATGACACACTGAAGGCTTTGGAGTCGGGAGCTGTCGAGACACTGATTGTGTGGGAGAATCTGGACATCAACCGATACGTGATGAAAGACAATGCGACGGGTGAAACTCTGATCAAATTTCTGAACAAGGAGCAGGAGGCCAATATGGATAACTTCAAAGCAGACAACAACGACTTGGATGTGGAGGACAAGATGCCTCTCCTGGAGTGGCTTGCTAACGAATACCGACAATATGGATGTAGTCTAGAGTTTGTTACCAACAAGTCGCAAGAAGGGTCTCAGTTTTGCAGAGGCTTTGGAGGGATTGGAGGAATTCTCCGTTACCAGCTTGACTTGAGCAACTTTGACGAGGACGACGGAGAAATTTACGATGACTCTGAATAGCAATCAATCAACCCTTCCTCGTCGCTGGTACAGGACGATGGGGCCTCAAGCCTGAACCAGCCTGCGTGGGCTCTCGGGTCATGCAGAATATGAGATGAAAATTATGTACCCTCACTTTTCCAGTTATTATGCGTAAGGTGAGTGTCCCTAAACCTTAGATTGAGCATGCACCTAATTTTTTTCGGAAACGTTAAGTTGAATCTGATTTATGGATATTGGATATTAGGTGGAGAATCAAAAGAAACGGAGAGGTGTGGAACAATACAGCTTTAGAGGGCGAATAACTTTTGGACGCAGCTATCTGCTTCTGCCTCTGTTTGTCACAAGTCGGCCGGTGATGTTTCCGTTGTTTCCCGCGACACGGAACAATTGAAAACATGTCTTTTTCGGTTATTTTATGTTTCAGACGACTCATTTAGTTTGCCATTTGGGGTACTTATTTTTCTTTCTTGCACCATTGGTTGTGTCTCTTTCTGCCCAAGGGAGACAACATCTGAGTACTTTGGTTTGTCTATGGTGTGTTGTGTGGTCGGTTTGCAGGGTTTATGCTTACGAATTGAAAGCTTGGACGACGTATGTATGTATGTATGTATGCTATGTTGTTCTGTTGGAGTGTTGTTTTGTTGCTTGCTTATTTAACCGCGCCATCGTTGTTCTTTGGGTTTTCTTCCTCTCTTGCCGGGTAATGGAGTTTCTCTTCTTCTAGTACGTGGTTCAAACTGGCCGTATTCGGTTTGGTCGTGCGACGCATTCTTGGTACTACCCATGTTCGGTTGGCATGAGAATCCGTTATTTCGAGTACCCGACATTATCCCTTGTAGATCAAAACCAAATAATTATATGATTTGCTCTGGCCCCACAACGTTGGAGTCGAAGACTTTGATGCTATACGGTCACCCAGAAATTTGGTTTCCGATGGCAAATCCTGGATTAGCTTATTTCATGATCCGGCGACAACTTTTGAATGATCTCTTACAGCACATCGTTAATCGACACTGTGCTCTCCAAGAGCCTCTAGGGTTCCAAAACCCGAAGCGAAACAACCTTTGGTCGCGGGAGTATATTTGTAATCAAACTAGCTTGTTGCATGAGGTTCTTAATATACATATATGTGCGTGTATATATGTATGCATACTTTCCTGTGTTTTTATCAGGAGATAATTTTTTTCCTTTGCATACATTGTTATTTTATGGGCTTTTTTAAGAGTTTTGGAGTGGGATCAGCGCTAGAAGCCATCCATGAAGAGAGAGAATCGACGAGTTGGTGAAGCTCCTTGGACCTGTCGGCGCGAAGGAAAGTTGGGTCCATCCCAAGTGAATCGCCGACCTCTTTGGCAACTGATTCCCAAGGCGTTCCTGCCGCCATGCTCGCCAATAGTTCGCTCCCTCTGTTCACCGCATCCGCCATTGCCGGTGGAACATCTGGTAGCGCCTTTAACCACAGACAAACAAACAAACAAAACATTACCTACATCGTAAATCACGTTGCTGTCACCTGACAAGAAACAGGGCAGGGGAAATATCTGTTCGGAAAGAATGTTCTTGTTCATGGGTTCGAGTTCAGGTTCAGGAACCCATGGAGTAACCCAGGGAGAAAGGGAGAAGCCGACCAAGAAATCACTGTTACGACCTCTGCCAATTTAAGGAGTCTAACAGTCGCATGCATGGGGGTGAGAGCCAAGCCAAGGCTGAGGGAAACTGGTCGTGCATCGGGAGTGGCCGCGAGCATTGCGTGGGTTTTGTTAGTTAAAAAAAGGGGTCGGGTTTGTTAGGGTTTTAAATCCCTAGATTAGGGATTTCATTCCAATCAGGGCTTTCATTCGCCTACACGAGCCTTGAGGGGTCCAAGGGTGATTTCGCGACTCCGCCCGCTGCCCTGGCCTCAACCACCTATCATCGTCTCCAGCCTTGCCGCCAACCGCCAGGTGAGTATTACGACTTTCTTCTCCGTTCTCGTCCTTTTCTCGAAGCGTTGAAGCTTCGTGGTGACTAGCAACCCTTTCCTCGAGTGCTCACCCTTTTCTCATCTCGTGACTCACGGGTCAATCACGACATGGCCCCTTGCCAACCGCGTCGTCTGCATGTCCGAGGATCGGTTGGCTCTGATACCAATTTGATAGAACACACCCATTAATAATGGGCCCAATAAAGTCTCAAAGCCCATGGGTAGAACTCACCCCAAAAGCTAGCTTGTTGGGGGAGGGTGCCCATGGTATTATATTGACTCAATTGTTCCCACATATTTCCGATGTGGGACTCTAACACGGTACCCCACAAGTACCCAAGCCCTTACCACGTCTCATGGATACCCGAAACTCAGGTACTCAACCATCACGAAACCGAGAGCAGTACTCTTTACCCTGAAACCCGACGGGGGCGAAGCTGAGACCAGGTGGCCTGAAAATCTCGGGTACCTGCCCCTGCCCACCCTTGCTGGCTTGGAACTTAACTAGAATGTTCTTGAAGCTTACGTGTTAATCGATAAACTAAGTTCAAATGTTTGCTTTTTAAGTCGAGAATGTACCTGTTGAAGAGGAAGACCATGATCCCCTGGCAACGAACGGATAGACATGTCAAGCTTCGAGCTTATCGATGATTCTGCGCTAAGCACCTGAGCAAGTGTTGACGTTTCGTCTATTGTGTCATCCTTGAACTTTATCAACAGATTCCTCGAGACTCCATAGTAGGATTTTATCTGAAATGTTTCCCAAGAATTAACAGTCATATCATACAACATATATATTATCCATCCTGATACTACTTTTTTTTCAGAAGTTGATTGTTATATATATATATATATATATATATATATATATATATAGAGAGAGAGAGAGAGAGAGAGAGAGAGAAGAACAGGAAAACACCAAGCAAGATTAATAATGGATTTCATTTCACCTACAAGGCGTCTGGTTTCTTCAGGTTTCGGAATGAAATCTTCTCTTCCATTGACCAAGTCCATGTACAAAGGAGGGAGCTGTTCCATTAGTGGCAGAATTTGCTTCATGATCGGAGGGCTAAGGTTTTCTAGTTGCTTCAGAGTCATCTCTGCCTACAAGTTGGACATCGTTTTTAAACCACCAGCACATAAACGTGAAACAATATATTGAAACCACAAAATAATGGAACGAAACAAGTGCAGACATGATATAAACACTACCATATAAAACAGTAGAAACACTAATAATGGCACATCTGAAGTAAGTTGCCTACAGGCTATAGCGTTTCCAAGACGGAAAACCAAAAAGCAATGAATAAGAACTTACTCCACGGCGGACTGTTGGGGAGGTTGCTATCTGTGATAAGAGTGGTCCAAGGCTTTGAGCCATTGGAACAAGAACAGGTGAAAACAAAGGAATAGCTAAGCTTGCTTCCTGTAATATTATTAGGACAACAAAATATTAGGGTCATTTTCAGAAAACTAGAGTTCAAATGACATAAAAGGCAGGCCCATTTCACCAATCGTTTGCGAAGTTATTCCAAATTCGAGATAAAAGACCAAGTTACAGGAGGGAAAACACGACAACGGATGCCTGACTTGAGGCCATTCCATTCTAGGGATGGCCTTCCTTTTCTTCCTATGATAGATTATAGATAAGCTCAATTACCTTGTTGTTGAATGCCATTAATACATTCCCACTTCGCTGAACAGCATACCTTGATCCTGAAGCACTAATGAGCTGACTCAATAAACCATCACAAGCCACATCAAATTTATGCACTCAAAACCTTGTATTGGAGTTACCGATCAAAAGGTGAATGACAGATCCCAAAGAATGGCCTACTCCAAAGGAAGGAAGATCCTGCACCTGCAGGGCAAAAAGGCACGGTAAGTTATCTCTTCCTTTCCTATTTCCAAGCATCGGCTCTCTATTCCCGAGAAGGAAAGGACACCGCAGCACAAAAATATTTCTCATCTTTCTAGAGTTGTCGAAAAGACGGGTACCGTTTCTTGCAGAGCGCGACAGCATCTATCGAACTTAAACTGTACTTCGTCTGCAATAAAGAAGTGGTCGAAGCCACTAGGATAAGGCGTAGCAATCACCAGAATATCCCTGCACGAGAGAAAGGGCGGAACACTAAGCATGGGACAAAGCCATAAGGATGTCCTCCGAGTTGGTGTCTAGTGTTTGCTCTAGTACTTTATGCAAAAATGTCCTAAGAATGTATTGTCAAGAGTGTCGAAAGACAGTGAAAATATCGGCAATAAAAATGTAATCCCTCAGCAATTACATCTCCGACAAGAATTACTACACCACAAGATCAACAGAAAAATCCACCAAAAACTTACTTCTCTGCAAGTCTCTCAAGAAACAAACGATATGTAAGCTGGGGAGCCGCACCGACAAATATACCGCCGATAAAATGAACAACCATCTTCGGTTTCGAGTTTCGTGGTTTGAGCACCCATGATCCCTATATCAGTAAAAGAGGACTACTAAACAAAACTCCGAAATTTCGAAACTGAAACACAAAGAGTTGTGCATATATGTTCCTAAAATGAAAAGTATTAGTGCCTACGTGAGCCAAACTCACACAAAGCGGCTCAAATTTCAATTCTTTCTTACATAAAGATTCGACCTTTGAATCTAACTTCTTACAGGATTCTTGTCCAAGTTCAATCAAAGGAACCGAAGCTGAATATGAGAAGTAGACATAAACAAGACGAACCTCAACTTCAGACCAGTCAGAGGATCCACCCCAGGTACCTTGAGATTGCCTCACAGTGTCAGTAAGCAACCTGAAAAATCAAAATTGAAAACACCCGATTGAAACCGGAACAGAGTCCGAAAATGGAACAAAGGTAAAGGCGACCGAAATACCTCTCAATCTCGCCATAGACCTGAATTCCAGTAGATTGAGGCCGATCCTTGTCGTTGTCTTCGTAGCTACACCAGATTCTTCCCGGAACACGCGAGTTCCGGGCCACCGACGCGGAAG